ACTCCATTCCTGATGCACCTAAGTGGAGGTCTAACCTAAAATAAATATCTATTTGAGTGTTTCCGATGGCTTCATCCCAGCAGATATTGCATGCACAACATCCCAGGTGACCAGCGAATCGATCTAACGGTCAATTGCCTTATATGTTGTGAGCAATGTTTCTTTGTCTTTTCCCCAGTTGCTGTCCGCTAATGACCTGAGGATTTTGTTGCGTCTCTACATATGCGTCAATTGCAGTCGTACGCGGAATGAAGGAATGCAAGCTGTCGAATGCGACTTGCAGTTATCTTTTGTCGGTTTTTCGAAAGCTACGCTGATTTCCTGCTCAGATCAGATGGTGTGTGAACAACGGGAGTGGCAAGACCTCATTTCGGTTCTAGGAAAGAAGAAGAGTATCGGCCAATTTTTTACAAACTTTTCTTTGGTATCATCAGGGTGGTCAAAGACATATTGAGAACCTTGGTGAGGTGGTCTACTCCCGCAGCTAACAGATGTTTTAGAATCAGCATGAGTTGTTCACCGAGCCGACAGATTTAGTGGTTTTCGCCTTCCCGATAACCTCCATCTTAAACTCATTTACTTGAATTAAACTTTTCAATTTTTCCTTCCTTTAGTCATTAAAGACATCGGATAATCTTAATAGATATGGACATGCTTAGGACTATGAACAGCCTTCATTATATATTGGCGCTCGTGCACACCAATCTTGACCGAATTTTGTCATCATTAAATGAATTTTTTTATTTTTTTATTTTGCAATCTTTTGTGTCATTATTCGATCAATCTACACAGCATTCATTCTGTTGTGAGTTGGTCAATATGATTGCATGCCTTGCTTGCAACAAAATGGCATAACAAACATTCTATCGTAAAATATTTGCGCTCATCAGGAAAATAAAGAAGATGAAAGAAAGCGACGAAGTCAATAAAAAAATATAAGAAATAATAATTTGAAAACAAAAAAAAAAAGTAAACAATCTAAATCATAACAATTTGGAACAGCAAACAAAAGGAAAATCTGCGCTGGCAAGCCAGGAAGAAGAAGCATCACAGCAAATATTTAATAGTAAATAGCAAATAACAGTTAATTTACGTAAAATGCTTTGCTGATGCTGCTGCAATTGTCAGCAAGGGTTATGTAATCAGCAAGGCAACTCAAGGCGAAATCGAAGTAAAGTAAAGGAGGAATATTGAAAACTTTTGTTGCAAGCACAGCGTTGCACAACAAAGTGTATTGGGCAGAACTGTCAACGGGTGAGAAGCAAGTAAATAACAGTCCAAGACTCGTTTGTAATTTAATGCCTTCTTTTGATGTAAGCAATAGCGCGCAATTAACTTTATAAATATTTATATGTTCGCTAGTTTGCAGTGTAGCCTACTTTAGGGCGCAATAACGGCAAACAGTGTTCGCACTGGCAACAGCACAACCAGCGCGAGCCATAAAATCTGACCGACTTTGTATGCCTTCCACGATAATTTAGAAAATAACGACAACGCAACAACGTACTGTGCTTGGTCGATCAGTAACAGTAAATTTAACTGTCACGCTGGTGACGTAACAGAAAATCACTTTGTGGCATACAACTTTCGGCAGCGTTAATTAGAAAATGCATTTAAAATGTGTCATCATTAAACAGAAAACTAACTGAAAATTAGCTGCTGGCACAAACATATATACATACACCTAAACACACGTGCATATATGCATTGGAAGCATGCAAAGGTATGATTAATCGGAAATATAATCTATGGTCATTCGCGCCAAAAAAGACAATTGTCAAAATAATAAATTAATAAATGGCAATTACGGTCATTCAATATTAATGAATTTAGCATTTATATATGAGCATACATGCTTCAATACCAAGTAGAGGTGAAAGTGATCTTGACTGGTAAATAACCAGAAATTTTTGGTTGAGAACGAACTAGTCCGAAAAGTATCAAACCGCTGTCATATCTAAAACCTAATTATTTATTGGGTCTAGTAAAAAGTAATTCATTATTTGCACAGTAAATTGAAGGCTTATTTAAGCTAGTTAGAATTATTCGATTTATGTCATACCATTTCGAAAATAATATCACTATGATGGCAAAAAATTGGAAGAATCGTTTCCAATTCTTTATCAGCAAAATTATACGCCTTAGATACAAACAGATGGCTTCGTGCGTGATTCGGACTAATAACCACTAATTCTTCAAGCTTCTGGTGCGTCACTATCGATGTGTGTGATCTGACGTTGTCCTAATGACTGTTGCATTGGTCTAATATGATTTTGGCCATAGTGGAGCAGCTCATAGCATCCTACCAAACAAATAAAAAATATCTTTCTGGCCATCAATCCTGATTTGATGATCGTGTGTCCCGGCTCAACGCCTTTCGACCACTACCATTTTCGTGCGACGTTGATGCAATTGATTCACTTCTCTCCATCACCGGTCACCATTCTATTCTTCGCTTCAACAGCTGTTCACAGATGAATGAAATTCTCATTAAAGCATCATATTGTTTATCCAGCCATTTTGGCTCCTGAGCAATCGGGGAAAAGTACTCGCACTCGAAAAATGTTCCGTACTTTATTGACATTTTCGACAATTGACCTTCCAGACCGTGAAGCATGAGTTACATCAAAATTACCGGAGCGAAATCGACGAAGTCTAAATTGTGCTTGATCGACTGTAAAGCATCAGGCCCATACACACTCTTCACATTTCCAGTTGCCTGATTTGAGTTTTCGCCTTAATCGAAAAAGCTGTAGAATATGACGTGGGTTCTCGTTGCTGGTGTCCATCTTCGGCATGAGCTCAAACACCACTGATATTGATCCCTTTATATCTACACTTCTTCCATTGTCCTTTTCATAAAAAAAAATATATTATCTTTCTAACGCCATCTAGCCTAATCTAATAGCACTTATAGAACGCGAGCCAGTATTCTATTACAAAAATCTTGGATTACGTTTTTTCTTTGAGAAAGAGAACGCAAAGCCTCGCGAATATTTGTACGGGCTAGTAACCATTAGGCTATTGCAGCCGCCCATATTGACTCCTTGGAGAAAAACCCAGCTTACTTGGTGTACTAATTACGAAGTAGTTTTCAACTCGTTCATTTGACTGAAGGTTTTTTAACACTTTTCTATTATGTTTATGTATGGGTGTATTTGTGCTCATTAATGAATTTTGATTGCATTTATTGTTATTCCATGACAAACAATTAAATTTAAACTATTTACCATATACATATGTACATATATATATACATACATACTGGTGTATAAACAATTATTTATGATTTGCAGTTATTAGCATTGCAAGCGTTCATAAATGTAATTTATAATTAGCCACATTCATACGACTCAGTAAATCATCTGGGCTAATTAATTATGTAAATTTATTTAGTGGCTTGTAAATTTATGTGTAATTGGGAAATGTTAGATTCTAGCAATTCAGAGTGCTTTGAAAACGGCTGTCAATCGTGCAAAGAAAGGTGCTTAATTAAATCACAGGTTTGTATATTTTTAATTTCGACTGTGGTACTCGCCGTACCGAACGCGCAGAGCACAAGAAATCTTACGCAAAACTTTCCTCTCAACAACTCATAATGAAGGCTCATCATATGCTGTTATCGCCCTTGACTCCGCATCATATACCGGAATGGGTATGGTGAGTGACTCGTAGAACTTTTTCTGTTTGTTCGTCGAGAGAGGAATTTTCATTTCAATTGTCGACTCAGTCCGAGGTTCCTATTCTGTTGGCAAGAGCGATTCTGCGTTGGATTTCACGACTGACATTGTTAACAGAGAAGAGAAGGAACCAGTGTAGAGCAATTGTTGATTCAACTATAATCGCGTAAGCGGTGCTACACCAATGAAATGAAAGAAGATGGGGTGTGAATCGGAAAGTCCGAGCTCTTGGGCGCGTTGAGAAATATACACCTTTTCACCTTCGGCTACACCTTCACTTACAGTGGCCTCGTTGGAGGTGGACCGAGCAAATCCATGATCCATAGGCCTTACAATATCTGTAGCTGATCCACCTTCTTCAAATTTCTTTAAAATTTTGCCGATTCCTCGAATAGCTGGACAATTCTTTACTTAAAGCACCAAACGTGGTCACATTTCAATCTTAATTTTTAGTAAGATTTGACAATTTTAACGCTTTGGGCGGTTCTTAGGAAATCGTTATTCATTATGCTTGACTTTTACCAAAAAAAAAACATGTTTGGAATGGGAGTTGAGTTTGACAGAAGTCAAAAAATAGCACCGTACTTTTGAAACCGAAAAATGGATAATCCTATATATATAAATATATATATTTTTTGCTAGTTAACCAAATAAAAATCCAATACAATTTAAACTGCAAATTACATTTAAGTAATTTTCTATTTATCTCTATATTTGTATTCCAAATATTATTGTTAATAAACATTGTTTATGCAAAACATTTTCCGAACACAACCAAAAGGCAAAATTTCCATAAAAAAGTATAAATAAAAATTTGTAAATGCAAACAGAGAATTTATTTAGGTCAATTCACACAGCACAGCACAACACAACAGAGACCCAAAAAAAAAAAAAGGATCAATGATGACGTCAGCAACAAGTAGGCAACCAACTGACACTGACTGTGTGTGTGTGCTTACATGACTTACATACTCGTAGATGCACTGCATATCCACATACACGAACATATGTTTGTGAGCAGCATATGTGCGGGCAGATGCATAAAATCCTTCCGATTGGTGGGCGGGGCGCAGAATGTGGAGGCAACAAGAATTTTCTATTAAAATTTTTCAAATTGCAATGTTGTGAATGCATCAAATGCACATACACGCGCATACACTCGAGAACCACTCAGTGCCATTTAGTGCCAATAAATGTTGAAATTATATACGATAAAAATTTAAAAAAATTAAACTGCAATAATCGAGTAAAAATTGATTTTAATGCAAAGAAATCAAAGTAAAGAATTTATTATTTTTCTTTTTTTTCGTTTAAAATTCTACTTGTGCTTAGCATGAAAAATGGCAAGCTTAAAAATTAAATCACAATTGACTGGCCAGCAATAACCAAACATATCACAAAATATATTTGCACTTACAAAGTAAGCAAAAAATAAAAAAACAACAAAATAAAAAAGTTTAAAAAGTGTTATAAATGAAAAATGAAAATGCAAAGTATAAATGAAAGAAGAAAAAAATGTGGCAAACTTAATTACGTCGCTGGGAAAAAAGGCAAAACTCATAATATTTATGGCACAGTCAGTGTTGTAGAGGAATGTGGAAAAAATGATAATTAAATGAATTAAAATTTATTTCAAAAAAAAAAAAAAAAAAAAAAACCCAACGCACAATAATCTCATTAACCCACACCACCCTGTTGTTGCTGCTGGGGTTGTGCAAGTGCGCGCCGGCATAAAACAGTTATACAACAAAATGTTTGGCTGCATCTACCAATTATGGGACTGGTGAGTATAACAAACACATATTTACACACATACATGAATAAATTGCAATAATTCTACAAAGTGTTTGTTGTGAATAAAATTATAATTTAAAATTAAATAAAATATTGTTGCAAATTCAGATGAAGCAGAGAATTGGGTGCGTGGAAAAATTTTATTAAATTGTAATTTTTTACTTTGAAAAGGCTTTATGCACATATATAAATGTTTGAAAAATTTTATAATATATATATCATACATATATCAGTATAAAGGCTTGTGCATATACATATGTATATATGTATGCATTTATATTATGTGCACAAACCATGCTGTTATGCACCCAAGGGCACTTAATTTAATTTTACGCTTGTTGTATTTGTGAGTGCTGCTCACATGAGGGCGATTAAGTGCAAAATATGTACATACATATATTTGAAAATAAAAATATTATATTTTTTTATCTGCAATATTTATTCAACGTTAATAAATACATATGTTTTCGATAACTTTATCGAACTCTTATATTTACTTTAGTTTATGTTCCTGAAGGCTGCAAAATATAGGGCAGTGTAAGTTATGGTGGCGAACACTTTGTTTTTTTTTTGCATATTCCTTTCTCAGAAGCAAAATTTTTCAAAATTTGGAGAAAAGAAATTGCTGACATTTGTTGTACATATTTATGTCAAAGGGGATTGTCGAAATTCGAATTGAGTGAAATTTTATAGCTCCTAACGCAAACCATTGATATTTTTCATTTTCAGGTTTAGTGTCGGGCTACTGAATATTAAGTAGATCACTCATTCAAACTTTTGGTTATCAAACTACTGCAAATGATGAAAAATAACGAGAATTCAATTAGAAAGATCACTTTACTGGTGGCTGGTAACTCTTTCATCGCAACTAGCTCGAATCATATCTTCATGAATTGTTGCGGTTGAGCACAGGAGGCATTCGTTCCAGGCACAGAAAACAAAAATCTCGATCAACATCTTCTCCTGCTTCATCCAGCTTTGTCCGATTTATTGACAATGGTGCCGATGGTGTTCGTTTTGATGACCTTTTTCTCTTTCCAACAGGAGGTTTCTTCTCTCTGACTGGCGTTTTTTTTTATTAGATCGGCTTTTTTCTTTTGGTTGTCCTTTTTTGAGCTTGACATACTGTTTTGCATGCCTTGCCAACCTTACATTCCTCTACTTCAAAATTTGTCTCCAACTGCAAGTAAGGGTGGTTTTTTTTGGCAATCAAACGCACAAAATTAAATGTTATGGCCGAAAATTTCGAGGTAAAAACGCTTCTTTTCATTAAGTTTCAAAAATGATTTCGTAGAAGTGAGGCTTCGTTGCGGCTGGCTCGAATTAACTTCAGTCGATAGGCCATTTTTCGACCACTCTTTGCAGCAATCGGTACTGTAACATAGCAATAAAGTGTCGAATATTCAATCAATCATGTCGATATTATCTGTGTAGACAAACGACTTCACACTACGTCAAAAAAAGTAATTAAATCGCGCGATAGTGGAGTCCGTACCACAGACCCATACCACGCGGGATAATGCGTGCTCACCAAAGTTTCCTTCAATAAATTTATTGAATCCAAATCAGCAGAAAAAAGGCTATATAGCCTTCCTCATTGATTCCCCTTGCTTGTAGAGTACACCAAACAATGACTGTTTGAGAATATAACGTCGTCTCGAGTGCGTCATCATCACTCCAAAAGCCACAATTTAGTTTATTAACCTACCCCTTCTAACAAAAGTGAGCTTCATCGCTAAAGAAATTTTCATGTGAAAATCGAGGTCGGAACTGAGTATGCGAGTTAGTTTTGGTAAGCCCGCAAACACACATCCTTTCGCAAAATTTTCCGCAGCAGCAATAGCGTCGTTGGTGCTCACTGTAAGGCATCTCTGAGAGTACGCATTATCCACAGGAGTAAACGTGGCGCGAAACCGAGCAACGGCTGCTCGAATTATCGATCTGTAACACGTATAAAAGATAATTTCAAAGAAATTTAAGTAGGTGGCGCTACAATCGATTTGCTCACAAAATAGACATTTGCCGTTATTTCTAATGAAACTAACCAGATTCAATTAAAGGAACGGGTATTCAACTCAAGTCTCTTTTGTAGCTGATTGCAGTTATTAAATCATACTTCTACAGAATGTTGGTATTTTAGTGTATTAAAAGCTTTATACCAATTTTTAGACCATTCTCATAAAGAGCCTGAAAAATAACAGAGCCAAGAGCTTCTTCGCAATATTAACTTGAATTATTTTCTCAGTGTAAAAATGGAGACAGATTTATGGCATCAATTAAAAGTAATTAAGTTGAAACAGTTGCAGACTCACCTCAGGGAGAGTAAATAAACACGTCATTCTAATACTAAACTTTTCTGATCCGGCGAACCTTGAAAAATGCAAATCTAATGGGAATGATGACAGCCCTGAATAAATGTGATTGACACAGTAATTACGAAATGAAAACGATGGGGCTGTAAGTGTGTTGCAAGTAAGCAAACGCCGGCACTTAACGTCGGCAGAATGCACTTCTGCTACCCTTTTCATACTCCTCCGACTATTTTGCTTTCCTTCTGCTTTCTACTTGTGAAATTGATAATGATTTACCGTTCGTTTTCCATCTTACTTTAATTTCTCAATTTTAATGTTTTCCATTTTCTTCTCTCCTGCAGGTTGGACGCCCCGCCACTCTTCAACGCGGCCACCATGGACGCCAAGAAGTTGCAACAACTGCAGCAAGCCAACGCCCAAAAAAAGTTGCCACTCGCCTATCAGACGAGCCTCGTCGACTATCGAGCTGCCACACATTCGCCCGTCTTTCAGCAGCAACAAGCTGCCGCCATGAGCGGTTATCATGGCGGCGGTGGCAGCAGTGGCTACCAGCAAAGCCCCACAGCCACCTCCTCGAGTGGTGGTCCACTCACACCTATCGATATGCAACCACAGCCGAATAAAATGCTGCTCAAGCATATGATTGGCTCTGGTGGCAATACCTCGAGCAGTTCGCACAGCTCGCCATATCACCAGTCGTCATCTTACAGCGGCGGTGAGCAACTTTATCAGTCGCCGACGGAACGTACCTATTTGACAGCGGCTGGACGGCTGCAGGCAACCTCGGCACATAATCCTGCCAGCGCCCTACAACAACAATACCAACAGTTGCAACAAGCCAAGTTGGCGGCCCAGCTGCAGACACAGAACGAGGCGGCTCAACAGCAACAACGCACATTCGCCATGCGGCAAGCTTTGAATCCGCCAGTGCCGCAAGGGCACTTTCACATGAGTCAGTCATCCAGCGTTATGTCATCAATGACCTTACAACAACAGCAACAGCAACAACAGCAACAGCAACAACAGCAGCAGCAGCAACAGCAGAATGCCGCCGCGGCGGCGGTGCATGGTCGTGCGCCACCCTCATCTCTGAACTTGAACAGTCCTTATCATCCAGCGCCCAGTGGTCCTTTGAAGGTCAACCAGAAGCAGTCACAGCAACAACACTACCATTCGCAAGATCAACAAATCTACGCACAACAACAACAACAACATCAGCTCCAAATGCAGCTACAACACCAGCAACAATTGCAGCAACAGCACGCACATCAACAACAACAACAACAGCAACAGCGTCTCAAGGTAGAGCAACCAACGCCGGGCAGCGAGCAGAGTCCAGTCTACATACAACAAAATCATCCGGGCCATGTCGTCAACCAGGCATGCCAAACACAAATATCGGCGGTGAAAGGTGGTACTGGTACAGTGGTGCAGAAGACCACACCCAGCTCGGAGGACTCCTCTGGTAAGAGCCCTTCGCACGCGCCCCTCGATCGCAAAAAGAGTATCGGCTCCATGCAGGCACTAAAGTCACCCATCACAAAACGCCCTCCCTCGTCGCCAGTCACCTTCTCCGGTTGGCTGTACAAGCAAGGTTCAGATGGATTGAAAGTGTGGCGCAAACGTTGGTTCGTGTTAGCCGAGTACTGCCTCTACTACTATAAGGGACCCGAGGAGGAAAAGTTACTTGGTTCCATACTCTTACCGTCGTATAAAGTGTCCGCCTGTTTGCCAGAAGACAAAATCTATCGCAAGTATGCCTTCAAATGCGAACACCAAAATATGCGTACCTATTGGCTGGCGGCCGAGACTGGGGAATCAATGGTGCAATGGGTGCGCGCACTCACCGCAGCCACGACCATGCAGGCACCCAACAGCGGCGAGTCGGACCAGCCGAGCGGCTCGTCTTCACTTAATCACAGCGGCGAAAACTCCGATTCTGGAATACACACTCTGCAGTCGCAGCAAAGTAAGATGAGCCTCAATCAAGGACAAGTAACTCCGGCATCAGAGAATGCGAATGCCAATTCGGCATCGAGTAGCAATAGCGGTGGCGGTGTGGGCGGAGCACAACCCCTATACGCGAACGCGCCACCTAAACCAAGACGCATCAACGACGGCGGCTATTCCTCGCCCAGCCCCGAACATTCGATTGACAACGAACGCAAACCACATCATCAACAGCAGCAGCAAGCGGGTCGTCACAGTGGACTCATGTCACCGACATTACAACAAATGCAGCAACAACAACAGCAACTCTATCAACAACGTGGCGCCCAGCAACCACAACAACATCATGCCATTTACGATACACGCACGGGCAATGTTTCCTCGGCGCTGCGGTTACAACAAGCCCAACAACAGTACTCCGTTGACCAACTGGAAGCGCAATTACAGCAGCAAATGGCCTTGTCAGCGGAAGATTACCCTAAATCACCGCCACCGCCGGCCACACATTCCAATTATATGGAGCTCGAAGAGCAAATGCTACGTCTGCAACAACAACAGCAACAGCGCGCTGGTGAAGATATTTATGGCGAAAGGGATCTTTATATGCAAAAGCTGATGCAGCAACGCTATCCGGCGCACTTGGCGCTCTATCCAAATGCGGAGCGCCGCACACCGGACGCATATGGACGTTCGAAAAATCGTATATTCTCGGATTATGAAGATATTTACAACTTGACGCAGACTGGCATGCCGCAAAGTGCACAGGAGGCGCTGCTGCAAGAAGCGGCCAGTTATAGGAGGCCGCTGAGTCCGCCCAGCTACGATGGCAGCAAACATGTGCCGGCGATGCCGATGCGTTACACTCCCAATCACCTGGAGGTAAGTGGGGAGGAGAGCATTGAGCTTTAGTGGTTAAGGCGAGATTATTTATTTTAATGGCGAGAGCTAAGGAAATAGTTCTTGGTAGTGCAAGAAAATTTATTTTGTGTTGCTATTTGATTGCGTATTTCTGGAAAACTTCTTCACAGCTAAAGTGAGGTTAGGGTTGCCTTTAGGAGAATGTATGATGTGGTTTGTGGTTAGTGAAAGGTTTGGTAATTCATCAGTCGGAAGTATTATTTTTAAGTTTTTTAAATAGGAATTCTGTATTCCCAAATATAGAACATTTCACCAAGGGCAGTTATAGCTGCACTGTTGAACTTAGATGGCGACCCTATATTTGAGGATTTTATCAACCAACAGCTACTAGGCAGGGATTTAACCGCGAAATTTGAAGGATGTAAGATATCCAGATATGTATGCAGAGACACTCCGCAGGCCACGGTTCTCTTACCATTGCATTAGAGCCTCTAAGCAAACGCGCTATTAACGCAAACTTAATGTGGTGGAGGCAAGGCCACTGTTGCCATAGCATACAGAGACAAGTCTCCACCAACCCTCTGTGCGTGCTCCAAGGCATACTTGGAAATGTATGGTCCTGGTCCACTCGATGTGGTCTCTGTGGGATGTCAAACAAGGTTTAATTAGGGCTATTTACAAGTAGATATAATACCCGCCTTCAAGACACCAACACCGCACGGTGCTCAACTTTGCCTGGGGTTGAAGGCTAAGTCTCTAAGAGTCATTTTAGACAAGAAACTAAAGTGGAAAGATAATATAGTCCAAAGATACGAGACGGCTACTAGTGCCTTCTATACATGCAAGAGAGCAATAGGATTTGCCAATGGATCCATGTATCAGTAGTTAGACTTACGATTGTATGGTGGCCAGCTGTAAATACAGCTAATGCTGATTTTATAGATATGATTCAAAGATATTCGTTAATGTGTATCAGTGGTGCACTGAAGTGCACGCCAATATAAGCTCTAAGTGTAATACTTCACTGGACTGGGTGATATCTCACCAATAACTGCACTTCGTTTAAAAGAGTCAAATAAATGGAGCACTCACCTCTTGGGAAAAATATTGGATAAATACGATTCCATACCAAGATATACAGTTCGATGCAATTCAATTACATTTCGATTATACACACCGATAGTTCATTCAGAACACGAATCCCCAGCAGGAGAGAAAGAAAAGATAATTACCACACTCCGCGTGGCAGGCTGCTAATATTCACTGATGGATCAAAGTTGAAGGAAGAGTCGCAGCGAATGGGAGCTAGTTTTACATATTTAAACAGCTTTATACTCAACGACATGGAGGCATCATTAAGAGCGCTTGGCTCGATTACATTAAATTCCAAAATAGTGCTGGGCAGTCGCTGAACTCTACAGGTGATGGCAAATTGGAACTGACATATGAACAAGCCCCTTTAGAGTGGAACGGAACTACAACCTGACGCTTACAACTGAAGTACATCTCCGAAGTAATAATATTTCTGACAGGCCCCTGCCTGATAATACGACATGCGGAGAGGCAAGGGACTCCCCATAGAAGGTACAGCCGGATTATTGGGTGGAGGAAACGATCATCCATCTCTTATGTGCCTGTCCTGCTTTAAGCAGTGCTAGGTTTATGAATTTTCGGACCCCACGGCTGGTGGTCTGTCGCAGATAGCCGATTTCAAAGTCTAAGTCTACTAAGATTCAATAGAGAATCGAAATGACTGGAAAACGAAGCCTGGTGGCATCACAATGGGTCTTAAGCCTAAGTAAAATCGATACGAAAAACCGTCAGCTGCCACTGCCTAACCGAACCTAAGTTTATCTTGAGCTGATGGCAACCAATAATTTCTTTTTTGGAATTCTTTAATACAATATTAAATAAAGTTTTAATGCATTTCATTTTCAAATTTACAAAAATTTTAAAAATTATTCTATTTAAAGCAAACATTTTTAATATTACTCATACTGATATTGTGCAATTTATTTAATGAAGAAATTTTGCAAAAGAAACTTACTTTAAATCTTCATTCATCTCGTTCATTAATTTTTTCCTTTTCTTTTAGATAGGTGGCAACCTTTCGTAAAAAGAGTTTTTGGTAAACATCCCTGGGGGCTCTAATGCCATGCCAGCGCTGTATTTTCATTTAGATTATTATTTTTTAAACCCAAATCGAAGTCGGTGGCAATACTTTTCAAAATTATGTAGAAAAAGTTTAATTTTTGTGCATTTTGTGATCTCCTTCTTATTATTACTGTTGTGTTATAAAAATTTAAGCAGCCTGACAGACTATTCGAAAAAAATTGCTAAACTTCAAGCTCTCTGATAACAGTATTGAAATATAAATTCTTTTCGCTCACATTTTCAAACTTGCGGTAATCAACCAGATTTCTACGTTTCTTGCACCCTCCACAGGGTTGCCAAAAATTGTTAATTAATTCGTAGTACTTCATTAGTGTCTACAAGCTAACGTTCTTCTTCAAAAACTGAAAGATGATTAGTCATATGCAAACATATATTTTCAAATAATTGTTTCTTCTTCCACTGGCAAACGTTTGTGGTAAACACCGTTACAAATAAATGCATATTTGATATTAGGCTATACTTTCATCATTAAAATATAATTGCTTTGAACTGAAAAGATTGTGTAACTCTCAAGTATACATAAATAAATGCATATACGTATGTATGTACGTATGTAAGCATGAGAGTAAATATGAGTTTGTGGCAAATTCAAAAGTTCTTGGTACGACGTGCTTATGTACGTACATGTATGTATGTATGTTCAACTTAAACTTCTTCTCTCGGTTTTTGATGTTGCTGGCATTCGTGGTAAGCCATTTTCTTTCCAATTTGCATGCATACGTGAAGATGTAAACAAAACCAAAAACAAATACCAAACATCTTTTTACACAGTGAGGTGAGCGTGAATTGAGGTTAGAGCGGGCGGTTCAGCTACCTAAAACTGCATAATGAAACGAAAGTTTTAATATTTGCCACAAAGTTTGTGTGTATAAAATCATATTCGCATATATGTATGTACAGGTGCATGTCTAAATGAGTACTTGCAACGTTTATGCCTTCTTTTTTTGGTTTTTTTGCATACCCAATAAACAAAAGTTGAAAGCTGAATTTATAGCAACTTTTATATACTTATTTTGGGGTTTAGAAAGTTCAACGCCGCAGTTTGGAATCTTTGAACTTTAACTGGCTAAACCAAAGAAGGAAAATATCAGGCATTGATGAAAATAGATCGCGTCAAAACCACGCAACGCGTTAAAATTATCAAAAACTGTCTCTTGGTGATTCAAACGTGAACAGGTATCCTACTTTAAGAAGAGATTATGGTGAACAGAATAGGCCAGCTGCTGAAGCAATTGGCAAAATTGTAATGAAATTTGAAAAGGCTGAATCGGCTACGAACATCGCTACTGTAGCGAAAGTTTAGCCGAAGGCCCGAATTCGTCTATTTCTCGACGTTGCCAAGAGCTGGAACTTTCTTACGGCATACGTGTATTATAGCGTATGCTGCACTTGGTCTTACACCTACATCTATTAAAGTCCAGCTCACACAACAAGTGAGGCCAGTTGACCATACACAGCGCCGTACATGCGTCTAATGGGTAATTGAACAACAAGCAGTGGACGGCGAGTTTTCAAACCATTTTTTTAGGCAAATTTCTCACTCGTGAGGTACGTAAATGAGAAAAATTTTCGCTTTTGGGGTCTCTTTAAACCTCATATAATTGAAGAGAGACCGTTACACTCAAACAAACTTACTGTCTGGTGCGCTCTTTGGTCTGAAAGTGGGATTGGCCTTTAACTCTTCGAAAATGGCTAAGGCGAGACAGTGACAGTCAATCCGGGCCGTTCTGGTCGTATGATAACCGACTATTTCTGTCCTGCAATTGAGGAACATGACTGGGCAATATATGGTTTCAACAAGGCAGTGCCACATGCCATACAACGCTGTGAGAGTAGAGCTGGCGCTAGCCAACCCTCTTTGAATAGTGTTTTTGAAATTAAAACCAGATGGTGGGGAATCATTTTATGAGAGTGAAATCGGGAGCGTAGAGAAGTTGCAGAAAACAAGCATACTCCAAATCCACTTGACCGCAGTTTAAGGCGACAAGTTCAGCGAGCCAAGGCGCAAGAGCATGTCCACAGCAGTTTCCTAATTGTCGAGGATAGTTTTATAATAAAATGATTCCATTCAAAATCTTAAAACTTTTCTGCGAGTTGGGTTTAACCATAACTGCTGGCATACCAATACGTGCCACATACACATTTACTTCAACAAGAAAGTGCCGCAAATGAACTCCGCATGATGTACGATGCCATGCCATGTCGGTTTACTTACTCGCGTACAAATGTTACTCGACTTTCGGTGGCATAACATATGACCCAACAACATAAACAAGCTCAGTTAAAAAATTTATATAAAGAAGAAGAAGTGAAATATGAGAAGGGAAAAACACGCAAAGCAATGGCAAGTTAGTAAGCAAGTGGGTAAGCGCGTGCTTTTATCGTCGTCGACAACAACTCCTTGTTGGTTGCATGCAACACGACTACCCACAACGCCAAGTAGCGAGTACATGCGCTGCACTAAAGTCGAAATGCCTGCAGGATATGGGTTGGTCTACATGTAACAGCGCTCGGACAGTGCTGAGCGGTGGCAAAGCGCGAAGGCAAACTGGCAAACTAGAACACAGTTACGGCTGAGTGACTGATGTGGCAGTTTTGATTGCAACTTTGCAACACACACACTCATCCACATGCACCTTTGTTAGTTTAACACACATTTCGTGCTTTGAGAATGTACGCCTTCAGAGCTCGTGGAACGTCTCTGGCGGTCTGCACTTTTTGCTCTGTACCGTAAATACCAAATTAGACACATGATTAGGCTACACCCGCTGGCGTTACACACGCGCTGCCCACCACCCTCTCTCTCTCACCATCTTCAAGCGCTACGCACACAGCACAAATGCAAACTTTATGGGTTTCCGAATTTCAAGGAAAATAGACTTTGTGTGAAATCAGCTGCAGCGAGCGCATGAAGGACTTTATGTCCTAAAAGTCATATCAACGTGGCGCTGTTTTCTGTCATCTTTTCTGTTTATAAATATGAATGTATGCAACTATGTATGTATGTGTGCAGTTGAATATTTAAGTTTTATCCAAGCTTATATATTACTCTTGCACCACTAACGGTACTATTTATAATGTTTCCTCAAAACTTGCATCATTCACTGTGCGGCTGACTGATAAAATTTATGGCGCATTTATGCTGCTTCCTTATGACCAATCAGAGTTGGAATTAAAGTTTCTTTGTGCAACCACTGAAATGAAAAACACATAAGTTGAAGATGTGGGAGATAGGGAAAGGAAGAAATGATAAAGCGACGAGCTGTCGTTCAACACACCATCAATTCTGAGGCTGAGATCAACGCACGAGAGCGCCGATAGTTTATTTCTAGTCTAAGGAGGAAAGTGATGCCGAAACATCTCAGCACTAAGTCCTAACTTCAGTTGCTGAAGAAATTGTAGATCACGAGATATAATTCTATTTTCTATAGCAATAACTCCAGATTTTATAAAGAAAGGGACTTTTAACATGATTTACAGCCAGATTTTTAACGCCGCCAACTGGGAAGCTGTAAACACCTGTCTGGCAGTAGACGAGCTTGTCGTCAATTATGTTTTCCCTCTGCCTCGTTTCAAAAGTTCACAGGTTCAAGTGTGCCCTCTATTTCTGGTGAGCTGGTGGACCTCTAAAATCTTCTCCTTTACTGCCAGCAATCTATCGGCCATGAAATTTTGTTGGTATAAAGCAGATAATTTCTACTCAAACTTCTTCATCGTCGAACATCTGTTTCATCATCATGGATCAGGGAATCTCATTCGCCATATTCTGGAGTTCTAGAGGGGTGTTCATTCCTTAGATTGAAAATACTCTTCGTATGAATCGCTAAATCACCTCTTTCGGTCCTAAAAGAGTTTGTTCCGGTCTTGAAATGTTCTGAAAGTCGCCGTATGTTCTCAAATTTTTCAAAAATTTTCGTGAATTATCCCTGTAGGCCTCCTTCCCAAGCTCTTCATAACCACTCATCTCGATCTGCATATTCTCTCTTCAATTCTCGGTATCTGTCCCATCCCGCACGAATAGTGGTCGATCGCAATTTTGTTCTCTTTCCACCAGATATTTTTACGAACTTTTCGAAACCCAAGATTTTCATTTGCAGTTGACCGTTGTAAGCTTGAAATGCCGTTCCACAGTGCCTTTATACCGAGTTGCTGATGAGTGCTCTGAGAGAGTAACTGTGCAAGTTGAGTAGAAAACCGATCAGCTGTCTGTAGTGATTACAGCTTTCGCCTTCGAGGCTTCTTTGTCTACGTTAACGGGCGTTCTTTTCTGTATAGAGCCAGGTGCGTATCTGTACTGGTCCGGCCAAGATTTACAGCTGACAATAAAGCATGACTTCACCCTTTTTCAAAAGGGTTCCTGATGATCACCAGCAATCTGACACATCTGGAACTTATGCACATTCACTTTTCCAAGAACAGATCTCAGGTGCATCTTTAATCCTTTACAACATATCAATCCATTTATTGATTTTTCAACGTGTTTTTGAAGGAGAAACGTCGAGGGATTGCATGCATTCAGCGGAATTACTGTGCATTCGTCTTTTAAAAGTTAAGATTGTTCGCTATCACCACTACACACATACAGATAAGAATATAAAAATGCAATGCTGTAAGAGTCACCCACTTTGCGTGCATTATTCCATCACATAAAATTTTATAGGTCAAATGGAGACAAAAACAACATGACGACGAGCGACTCCTCAAATTGTTCTTTCGCGTGTCCAACGTCATTGTTATTTGCACAGTTGATGGCGGTGATTGTAGGCATACACATCCACACTTATATGCGTTTGGACAAAAGGCCACGGAACGTTCGCTCATAAATACAACTCGGGCCCCGCGAAGTCGATCAGCCTCATCTGGCTTGGGGATGTCTCGTCATGGATGTAATCGACAAAGCAGGATTTGACATAGTGGCTTTGGAGGTAACTTTGCTCACATTGTCCTTCCCTTCCGGCGGGGCATGGGTGAAAATCGGTAAAATTTTAAATAACAAATAATAGATCTCTCACCCGAGGCTTTATTGTATTTTTCATTGCAGCACATTTTTTTTGTATTCTGGGGCCCAAACATTGGGCACAACCTTATGGGATTTGTCTTAAGGAAACTAAATTTATAATTTTCTTTAAATGTTTTTAAGTAATTTAACTAAAAATGTGATTATCAATCGAAAACCAGAGCTGAAATTTCGCACTTACCATCTTATTTCTTTTTGTTTACAGTCCGCCGCTGCACAGCAACAGCAGCTCACTTCAAGCAGCAGCAATCTACGCGCACGTCCACCCGCTGCTATCGTGCGTCCACATTCCGCGGACTTTTTGGAATATGAAGCACGCGCCGAATCAGCAGCTGCTGCCGCTGGCTCGAGAAACCCACCTTCCACCATGACAGCTGACCCGGTGCGCGCCCCACGACCAAAATCCTCACTAGACATCAATCGCACACCCGACAGCTTCTACTACTCGGAGGCCAGTTATGCGGAGAAAATGCGGAAAAGCGCTCTTTACCTGCAACATCCGCAGGGTGGCACGACCAGTGCGCAGCCACAACAAGGTGTCGGCTATCGTACCACAAATGATTTCCTTAGCCCCGTTGGTAGCGGCATGCACACAATCGGTTACGAGAATCCATACGAACGCTCCTACAAGCGCGGTGAACAACTACATGACGCCAGTCAGGGTGCCGCTAGCATGCCACGAATGAGTCGCAGCAACACAACAACCACTATGAACACCAGTGGCTTGGCACATTTGCGTTCGCAGTCGATGCATCCGCAAACACACAGCCCACTCTCACCACAGTCCCAGTCGCAGCAGCAGCAGCAGCAGAAGCAACAGCAGCAGCCACTGCCACCGCAAAAGCCTGTCTATACGCCAACCATGTCGACGCAGCAGATAATACAGCAGAGCGAGCAATTTCTACGCTCGGCCAGCGCACGCTTGCCCAAGCGCTCCGGCGGGTTCGACGATGACTACAACAGCGCGGCAGCCACTTCACCGCCACAATCACAACAACAGCAGCAGCAGCAACAGCAGCAGCATGTGCAGCAGTCACAGTCACAATCACAATCATTGTCATCTTCACAGTCACAACAACAACATCAGCATCCACATCCACATCAGCCATCGGCGCAAGATGGCGAACGCAAGCGTGAGGAGTCGATGAAACGTTTGCTGGAGTGGAAGCAGCGCATGTTGCAGTCACCGCTGACGCGTAAGGGCATGCAACAGGGTGGTAGTAACATGTCGGCCATGTCGAAGCTTGGTAGCAATCCGAACATACTGCTCGCATCGACGACGGTGGCGAGCGGCGCGCATTATGTCGCCCCCAATGCTGGCGGTGGCAACAGCAGCGGCACTGCGGTCGGCAGTGGTGCTGGTAGAGTTGGTGTTGCGTCTGGAATTGTTGGTGGCAGTAGTGGCGGGACTAGTAGTAGTCTTGTCGGCGGTGTAGGTGGCATACAACGTAGCCAATCGGAAGTTCACGCGAACCTCGGACCAGCTGGTTACAATAGTTACTCTTCGGATGATGAAGGTATGTGCGAATTGTCTAATTACATACATATACATTTATTACAGCTTAGCTTGTTTCTAACTCTAACCGCCTCTATCTGCCTTTCGTTGCGACTTCGTAAAGAGTTCACTTTTATGGTCTCACACCGTCACTTTGGGTTTGAGGACTTGGGATTATGTGCGTAAAGTTTTAGATACTCAGCCTGATATTCATAGAAATCAGCCCTGTCTTAGTGAGTAGCACACCCCTATTCGCCATTTACTGTGCTTATTTCTGTGCCTTGGCTGTGCAGTGATATTGAACCAGGAAAATACATTTCCGATTGTTCAGGAGCCAGCTGGTATATGGTTTCTGTCCTAAGGAGCCGGAAGTCTTGAGTGCGTTCTTATCAAACGATTTTTTCAGGCAAGAACCTGCCTGACGGCATATTTCCTATTAACCTGATGCAAAGATCACTACACGTCTAATCCTGATACTCAGACCCACTCTAGCATCCTTTGAAGGAAAAACGACTACTTTTCCTACCCCTTTGTCCCTAATATCATCTTTCGTAGGAGCAGTTCTGCAGAGAGTGATACTTGATTGGCTTTGAAGTTATCGGAATTCATTGAAGAATAAAAATTTTTCAAACTTATAAGTTAACTGTTGAGATATCACATAGAGCCCATCGCAAATCCACAAAGTCGGTAATAGATTCCGGGAATGGCAGATCTATTGCTTCATTGCTTGATAAAAGCCACCCACATCTGAAATACTGAACCTGAGCTTCACTGCGACCGTCGAACAGTAATTTATTGCAACGACCCTGAATTTCGCTAAGATCAAATCATTAAAAAGTTTATTGCTCGAATACTCCCGAAATCTGACATAATTGGGTCAGCTAAAGTTCTGCGAGGACCCAAACTTTATATTTGGCAAGGCTTTGCAGCTCTTACTTTGTGTGCAGCCCATAAAGGAACTCTCGCGATGGCGTCGAGAATTGGAAAATGTTTCCTTATTTTGTTGTTTCCTTTCCTATATTGCATACTTGAAATTCATAAAAGAAGGAAACTCGTGCTCATTGCTCGCTATTCACTAACTGACAATACACTTTTTTACTCTATATTTCCTTGAATATTTATTACTATTACATTTTAAGTGTTTTATGCATCTCAGCCGCTCTCTTATAGTTGAAAAAGAAAAACAGCTCTCGCTATTTCTATGCTTTTTATTCCCTTTCCTCCTTACTTTACCTTGCTTTTTCGTCTTTGTCATTTGCATTGAATATCATTTGCTTGTTTACTGCTTCTTCCTCTAGTCACAATTTCATTATTTTCTTCAAAGTTTTTTTTTTGTAATTTTTTATTTTTTCATTATTTTTTTTAGTATTTTTGTGCATGTTTTGTAGTTACTAATGTCATGTCTTTAATTGTACAATAGAAAAATATGACTTTCTCTTCTCTTGCGTAAAATTTTGTTGTTTGTTTATATTTATATTTACTTTAGCTTGCTGGAATTTGTTTCCATTTTCTGCATTATTTCCACTTACCTTCGTATAAACCACTCTTTACATATATACTATTGTTATGTTGTTGTTATTGTTGTTATGAAAGTTCCGTTATGCTCGTAGCTGCGCCTGCATTGTAGAGTCTATAAATAGAAAATCTTGTATACATTCATGAGTGCTTATCGCTACAAAGTTATTGTTGTTGTTATTACAAAATCATTACATTATCGCATACATACATACATACATACATACATACATACATGCATACATACGAATACGAATACGAATAAGTTGTTACTAAATATCTAACAGTATATTTTTTTGCACTTGTAAGTATTATGGCAAATGGTTAAGTAGCACAGCTGTCACTTGAATTACATTTAGAATGCCACATTGTGCCATTGCTCCACTTTGCCACCACACTGCTCCCCTGCAATCCTGCCACGCGCAACACTGCTCTCAACATACTCCCACTTTTACTATATGACTGACTTTCAAAAGATTCCGCTCTTGCAATTCCTCCGTTTTGTGACTCATAATTTTCACTGCGTTGCCATGGCAATGTCGGAGCATCCCTGTGCGAACGAATGTTTTCCTCATTTTTATTTCTATTTCTGTACTTATTTTGTACTTTTCCAGTTGGAATTTTTTTTTGCTTTTTTTTTTTTGCTTTTTGCTCATTTTAATAATTCGCTCTCTCGCATTGCTTGAAAATGAGATTTTTCCCGCATTTCATTTTTTATGGCTGCCGTTTTTACCGTAATATAAAACCAACTCACTGCAGACCGTGGTGACTGAATGTGGCATGAAAGTAAATATGTATGAACGCACTCGTGTGTTTGTTTCCTAGTAACGGGGTTGCCTTCATGTTGCCTCGCTGACCTTCTTGTATTCAGTTTTTTTTTATTGCTTTCCCGATTTTTAATCCTTTGATGTGATTCCATGTGCTCTTTATGGGATTTTTAGGTCGCGGGCAGCAAATAATTTCCAGCTGTTGTTGCTACTACTGTAGTGTTGGTTGTTGTAATATCAAATCTGCTTAGAAATGACAGAGCTGGAAACTTAATGAAGGTTATCTATGCCATATATGTATGCTTATTTACGATCATTGCGCTGACTGAGAAGCAGAAGAAGGAGAAAAGAAAAGCAGGTTTGCTGTGGGCGGAAAATTTCTATTGCATTGAGAACAACAATAAGAGCATTGTATTGGGTGTACAAATTAATTTGGATATTTTTTTGTGCTAAAAGAGTGATTTTATTGAAAAAAATATTAATAAAAAAATATATTTTTCAAAAAATTTTCTCTCTGGTAATTCTCGAATGTCATCTGTGAAAAATAAGTCCTCTTGGTCCTCGATCCAATCATTTTAACATTCTCGATTTCTTCAAAAGACCCGAACCGTTTCGCATCTGTCGAAAAGCCAATAGGCGGAGAGAGCAAGGTCTGGCTAAAACGGCGGGTGGTGCAAGATCTTCCACTTTTGCGTTTTCATGTAGTTTTTGACCTCACTACATGCCACACTACACCCGTCTGATTCCACCACATGCAGAGCAAGAGCGAGCATGTTCTCCTTTGGTCTTTGGGCAGACGATAATGGAAAAGATTCACAAGGCTTGACACAGTATTTTTTCTTCTCGTTTGCCTTTCAATTGCTACTTTAATTTTAAGCTGGAAGCTGCAATCGAAAATGTTGCTATGAAAAAGAGAGCATAATTTTTTTGTCAAATAGAAGAAATTTTAGGCGTAAATTTGTACTGATTTCGGATATAATGAGCTTGCAACCACATCATACTCTAACACAATATACTCTTACACATATGTGTTAACCACTGCCCGAACACTGAACCAAGCACACTGACATTAAGACAGCACATGCGAAGTAGAAAGTGCGTTTATCACATGTAGGAGTGCATAAATAAATTTCTTTTGACGCTTGACATATTCACTGATTTTTTGTAAATGGTCAGCCAATGTTGCACAACAATAACAACCACTGTCAGAAGTACTAAAAATAGTGTTTGATAAAAATCATTATTGACACATGCATTGATGTATGTATGTATGCGGCTCGTGGGCACACAAAATAGTTAATGAATGCCCACAGGAACGACACTGCGTATGAGTGACTTAATTGAGTGGATAAATCTAGCATAGAGCGTAAGCCAATTGACATAACACAAAGCGCCGTATCGCAGGCGTATTATATGAAGTTTTATTATTTAAAAATATTTGTTGCTTAAAATTTTCTAAAAATAATATTTGGTTAATATTGGTGGAAGTTTCATTTTTACTTTTTACTGTTTTTGTTATAGTTTTTTTTTTTCAGTTACTTTTTTTAAGCAACTTCATAAAGCGCTTTTAAGAATATGTTTGCAGTATATTTGCAGACAAATTTATTTTTTTTTTCAATTTTCTTCTTTTATATATTTATGAACTTTCATGCTTAATTTAATTAAACATATTTAAAACATTGTAAGCTTCATTAACTCATATTTATAGACATTTAAAAGGACGAAACGAGCCGAAAATGCCTTCCTGCCGTGTCTCTACTTACTTCTGTGTAAACAAGTATTTATCTTAAACAGTTGTGTATTCATTTTGTTTACAACTATTTTATTTAGTTACCTCTAAATAACCTCCTTTTTGACATTTTCTAATGGCAAAAATCAGAAGCATACAATTACTTCAGAAGTATACATGTTAAACACACACACACCCACGTATACATACTCGTAAAAATGGACATTTCTGCAACTTTCGAACAAATTATGGCGTTCACTCGCTACGGATGTAGTTGTAAAATAAATTCTCTTAATATATCCTTCTTGTCCGAGTTGTTGACTTGCAAAATTTTCTATAATTTCCGTTTGTTGTATTCCAGCTTGCAGGATTTGAGTGTGTGCCATTGAGTGGGTGGGCCTTGTACCTAAGCCAATTCGTTGTGAGTTCTTTCAACTGCACAGTAACGGCCAAAAATAGACATAACTGTGAATAACGTTGCACATCTATGTACATACAACATGGCACATTAAAAAGTTTGGCAGTTTTGTGGAAGTTTATTTAAAACATTATATTCCTATTTTCAGAAAACACTACTTCCGAGTTCTTCTTCTTAAAATTTGTCGTAGGCACCTCCCACGCGATTATAACCGAACAGGGCATAGAGTGCCATTCCATCCTTCTCTCGGCTGTTTGGTACCATTTAGAAATATGAAGGGAAATCATGTCATCTGTGGAGGTGTTCTTCTACTTATTCTTCCTCCAGCGGATCGACGTCGAGAGCTTTCAAAGCGGGAGTATTGTTATACACCCAGACCACATGCCTAGCCGCTGTCTCTTTAATCGCTGAACTATGTCAATGTTACCGTATACATCTTGCAGTGACTTGTTCGTCGAAGGATGACTTATGACAATCGCCTACTCAGTCCAAAGTAGCATTCGTTTTCTGAAAGTTCAAGATAGACGAAAACATCTATGACTTCAAAGTTATGTCTGTAAACAGTGGCGTAGGAGCAGCAGAAATGCTTCTGC